AAAATATGACAGTAAGTTATATGCTAAGCCCCCCAAACAAAGAAATGGAAAAGGAAAAGCGAACAACGAGAAACCAAAAATAAAAAAATCGAAAAAAAGCAAAACCAGACAAACAAACATTGCAATTTGTAGTGGAACAAGGTAAAAATATGGGAAATCTGAAATGAAGAGCAAAGATTGGTGGGGGCGAGTGGAGCTCGAGTGGGAGGAGCTAGAGAGCTGCGCTTGGACAGCTTACAAGGAGATTTATTTCAAATCAATACACATAAAGAATAAAGCTACAAAACTGTGCGATTGTTTGCAGGTGTGTGTGTGTGTGTGTGTGTGTGTATCCGCGCAAAACAATTTCGCGCCGCTCGTCAATGCTGCAACTGGGCCAATTGCATTTGTTAGAGCTAAGCCCAGTCGATCGCTTCATCTCGTTAAATATTATGCAATAGCTCAGAGGCTGACGGACGACAGCTGTTGACTGTGGCTGAGACTAGCAAATAACAGCTAACTTGAGCAGTTTGCATAGCTGAATAGTAAATACTGCGTAATACTCTGTTAAGAGCAGAGACTATGAGAGAAATCAAAAGAGTTTTGCCCTAGTTATAATTATTTTTTAATCATTACTTCTAGTTTTCTAAACAGAGCTTTTCATATTACCAAAATATACTTCATTATTTGCTCAATTTTATTTTATTTGTATTTGTATTTATTTATTTGTATTTATTCTATATTAATTTCAAATAATTTAATTATTCAAAATTGTCTGCTTGTCGATTTAAAATTTTTTTGATTACCTGTATTAAATCATATGCGCTTCAATCATTAAATGGCAGTAGATTTATTTAACCTATAAATACGAAAATTTATTTATTTAATTTAAACTTTTATAATGAAGAAATTTACAAATTAAATCATTTGTATATATATTAACATATGAATTGTATATAAACTAGCAGAGAGCAGAATTGCATTATTATCTATCTAGAATTCTTTGCATATCGTATTACTTAATTGTACGGCTCCATTCTGGTATTCAATCTGATTCGCTATTATATTGTTTTACATTTAATTATGTGTATTGATTTACAGATACATATGTATGTGCAGACATATATTCATGTATATATGTATGAATATAATTCCCTTTAATGTAATGGGAGTCGATTGCTTTTTTATTTTAATCCAAAAGCCACGTCGATGTGACTTTAACGCATTGCGAATTAATTAGCTTTAAGAGCAAAAGCTGCTAATTTTTTTATTTATTTCATGTTGTTCTTTGCTCTGTGTCGCTCAGCTTTCATTTTACAAATTTCATCGCATAATTTTGAATGCTGCCATAGCTCCTGCAATTTATTAAAGCTCTCTCGAAATCGGCGAGCAGACGCCAAGCGAATATCAGCTTAATCAAAAGCCGTGCGCACACGCACACACACACACGCACACACATAAAATCATTTAAAATTGTATAGACAATGCATACGTGCCACACACACACACACACACATGTAAGTGGGTTGAAAAGTGGAAAAGACCGTAAGAAAATGTTGCTAAAAACGCAGAGCGTAAAAGTGCAGCGTACGTGTAAATTTACCACAAGTAGTCTGACATGTACGGGCGGCCGCCGCAGTGAATGGTGGGCGTGGCATAGTCGATAAGGTGCTGCCGGTAACTCATATGGCCTGTTAGCCCACAACAGTGCGAGAGTGAGAGAGAGAGAGAGAGAGAGATAGAGACGAAGCAGCCTGAGCTCACAAGTTTTTCAATGCGAAAACAAAAGATTTTTTATTGAATTCTGAAGCGTTGCATTAAGTTTGCTGGCAAGACAGCAGCCGGGCACGCCCACCTGCGCTATGCGCCCACATTTTAGCCGCATGTTGTGTGCTGAGTGAAAAGCCAAGACTGTCACGCTGCATTTGCTGCCAAACAAACAGGAGAGAGACAAAGGGCGACAAAGGGTGAGAGTGGTAGAGGGAGTGTAGGTGCAGAGACCTTTAGCCAGGTGCGCAGGCAGCTGCTGCACGTGCAGCTTATGCTTTGTCTGTGGCTGTGCTGCGTGGGGGATTTGGCGCTGCAGACACATCGCAAGTGCGATCAAAGTTTAGCGGATTTTGGCGCGTACATTTTAAAGCTTGTCAAACGTGGCCATAAATAAACGAGGCAATGACTATTGGGGACAGGATTCCCT